GGGCCGCCGGATGAGGGGGGGACCGGTGCCGCTGAGGGCGGGGAGGACCCTGACGGCGGACACCGAGGAACAAAGTGCGGGTTCTGGTTTTACCGACGGCGGTAACGTTCCGAGACGCCCCCGCGCGGTTCGCCCCTGCGGCTGCGGCCCTGCGCAGCGCCTTCCGCCATCGCCCCGTCCTCCTCCCTGCATAGCTCTCCCTGGCGAAAATTGTAGCTTTTATCAATTTGCATCCTTCAGCGACCTCTCTCATTGCTGCAGGTCGCCTGACAATTTAAATGGCGACAGCACAGATACGTGTATGCTAAAAAGTTTATATTTGCAAACCCTAGAAATTCACTGGAAAAAAAAAACCCAAAAATTTTAATTCTGCAGTCTGAATACATCACGTGTATCATGGAGGTGGTTGTCCATAAAAATGTTTTATATATGAAATAATAAATGTAAATACAAATCACCCTCCACATTCCACATTAATTCTGCAAAGGGGAACAGAAAGCTTTCCCAGCGCTTGTTCCTTCTATTTTTTCCTTTTTCTTTTAAAAGCGAGGGATACTCAGTTGGTAAAAATGGCTGCAGAGAATGAAATATTGAAACGCAAAGCCGGGCCTATTAAACCCAAGTCTGTGCGAGTCTCAGGCCGAAGTAAAACCCTAGCTTTCTATCTGTATAACGTCAATGCACTAAATAGTATTTTCTGTTTCACTTCAGTGACATTTTAATCAGAACAACTACAGCCATATAGCTCAGATAACCGAGTAATGTATTTAGCACTAAAAAACAGCATATAAAAGTGAAAAAAAAAATCGTGGTAAAAATTAATCTCTCAAAAAATATCTGATTTGATTGCCTGAAACATTAACTTTAAAATAATTTAAAAGCGTAAGTCAGTCAGATAATTATGGCCAATTTAAATTCAACATGCTGCGTTCTAAAATGAAAACTGCCATCCTCACCTTTCCAGCACTCTCAGCATCCCAAGCAAACACAGCAATAAATTACACACAGGAAGTTTTTTCAAAGTTTTTTTTGCTTTTATAAAAAAGCCAAATCAACAGCAAACGCAGGAAAAAATAAAACACTTTCCACACACAGTGAGTAACTGAACTTCATTCTTGGCAATCACTTTTACAGCAACCAGTTATCACACCAGCATGATGTGCCGTGTTTCACCCAGATTTCCAACAAAGACACCGACGTATTTGTAGTCTGTGAACATAAATTCAGAAAGAATCAAGCTATTCCCCCCACCCCCTCGCCCCCAAAAAAGAAAAAGAAAATCGCTATAATCTGGTGTTACAAAAAACCCAACCCGCAATGGTGCTGCTGCACCCCCCCGGCAGCTGAGCCCCCCAGCCCTGCAGCCCACCTCAGCTCAGCTGTGCGGCTGCCACGGGCCTCAGGCAGCGCAGCAATCACAGCGGCGGCCGGCATGCATCCTGATTTGTTTCCACAGCAAACCCAACATATTTTAGCAGAGGTGTAGAACTTTTAAAATAAGCATTCGGCGACTCGCCCAGACTGGAATCCCATGGGACTGTCACCGGAGTTGGCAGTTGTCCTCTCATGCTATTCCTGGAGCACCAACATTGCTACATTTGCGTATTTTGTGTATCCATTAACTGAAAATTCTCTCAGATGAGCATTACTGCTGTGCAAGAGGAAAGAAACACCAGCTAATAATTTATTTTTTTCCCGGACAGCAACATCAGAATTCTTCTTCTGCATTTTGAACACGTGAACTCTTAAATTTCTTGAGTTTCTCAATAGCAGAAGATACTGAAGTCTCCCCATGAATTTTGTTGTCTCTTGTTCGCACGTTGACAGCATTATTTGCTTTCTCCTTTTCTCCAACCACTGCAAGACAACCACAAACAACATTAAACTGACTACCTACACTACAAAATGAGTCTAGGAAAACTCTATGCCCAACATTCAAAGTTAAATGATATTCAGAAATGTAAGATGCTGCAATTACCTAAGATAAAGTTATACTGGGCCAGCTGTGCATTTCTAATTTTCTTGTTTAATGTGCAACTTTGATCCAGATCCACATCTGACATAAATCCTGCTTCAAAAAAGTCACTGCAAACCTACAAAAAAAACCAAAAAACCCCACTTAATATTACAGTATATATTCTAAAACATAAATTTGTACATGCTGTAATTCCTGATCTCTTCCAATATATGTGCAGAATTTCGCTCTTGTGAATCGTCGTAAGAAGTCAATGAAGTTATTTGAAGACAACTGCACGCGCACTTCAGGGCTTAGCAGGACTCCAGCTGGAAGACAATACCAGGTAACACCCATATCGCACATTTGCTGATCTCCTCAGACAGCTACACTGCTGAGCGTCAAAGCTGTTTCCTCAGTCGGAGCAAAAGAAAGAGGAGAAGGAACAAACCCTCTTACGCTTGCATTAAAAGAAGAGCAGGGCAGAGGGGTAAACAACCACGGTCAAATGTAACGTAGGCAAGAGGGTACGTGCTGGGAAGTGGAAGAAACCAGGTCTGCCCCTTCTTGAAGCAGATAATTCGGTAATGAAGCATAAGTTAGCATAACAAAACATTGGTTTGCCATCCAGAATGTTTTTTTCCTTTAATAATGACTGAAATATGTACATAATAACAGAATCCAAAACACTTTGGGTTATGTGACCCTTTTTCGAGCTTATACAAATTTTAGACTACACGGAAAAATTTACTTCGCCCCCCCAAATATGTCTCCAAAATTATTAAAGCGTTCATTCTTTGTTCTAGGACAAGCACTTAAGGAGCTATTAAAATTGATTGCTACTATAAAAAGGGAGGCCCTGCTCTCACCTGCCGGGCGTACTCTTCAGAAGCAGGTCCCACAGGCACAACCATGACCTGCCGCGGAGACAGCCAGAACGGCCTGGCAAGGAGGACAAGAAAAGTGGGAGATAAATGTGCGTTTTACATTTGCATTCATATACACAGTCATGTTCCCCAGTAACAATTTCTTTACCTTACAAAAATATTTTTGTCAGATAAGGATGTTGGATAAGACGTTATCTTCCTCTTTTCAAGTTCACATAAGAGAGCAAATAGATTGATTCTAGTAAATTGACATATGCAGAACTTTGATCTTCTGTTCACTTCCCAGCTAACCTCACAATTTTAAACAGAACTATTTTTTCACATTATTTCCACTTTTATTTGTAACTTCATAGTGAAAGGTGGATGGTCAGACAGATAGGTGACTGAAAGTAAGAATTAACCCTTCCTTAATAAATACATTAATGAAGAAATATCTTCAGACCTTATTCAAGATGAAACAACACATCTTACAGGTTAAAATATTCCATATATTAGGACTTATTCACATCTGTATAAATAATTGCTTTACAGGTCTAACATCTTCCCAGTAGAAAAGCATTTAAGTATTTATTTTTAAGAATAAAGGAACAAGATTAATGCAGCACATACACATTCAATTACAATTCTTATTTCTGCTTAATTGTATAACTTTTCCTGCAGTCTCATGGAACTGAATTTCTTATAATTAACTACTAATTAAAGGGTATCATACAACTCAGACCATAAAATTAGACTTCTTTTCTTGTAATCTTACCTACTAATTCTGAGAAAATTCCAGGGATATTATTCTGCATTAGAATATATGGGACATTAGGGAGGTATTTTCTACATTGTTACACATTTCTTAGAACTGCATTTGTGCCACATACCATTTTCCTCCGTAATTTTCTGCGAGAATAGCTATCATTCTCTCCACAGATCCCAAAATAGCTCTATGAATAATCACTGGCCTTTTCTTATCATCGCCATCCTTACTGAAAAAGAGTAAGTGAAGTTTAAAAAAGAAATTCTTCTAGCTCACACAGCAATAATCCTACTAATATTTTTGATTCTACTTTTCGAGTAAAGACAAAATTTAGTTATTTATACTTAGGCAAAATCTACCGTTTTTAATAAAAATGTGCTTTCTTTAAGTCACCTGGGCTTTTAAAGGAATACTGAATAATCACAGTGGCTTAAAATAATCATGCCTGTAGCTAGTGGCATAGGCACAAATTCCCAGAGTTTGAAAAGACACTCAACTGACTCAACTCCATTTTTGTGCAGTTTATTATGTTCTTTCTCACTCTTTCTTTTCTGCTACGTCTTGGTTTTACTTTGTCGCACAGGATCTTACCTGCCCTTACTGTTCATTTCTTTCCTTAGATTACAATCTTGTGAGTTAAAAAAAAAAGCCAGCCGCTGTTTGTAACAGTATTATCACCTACCAACGAGCTATGACATCTACTGTAGAACATGCAGCAGGACCAAAAAGTAACAAAGATTTTATTTCTATCTTTCCCATCAAACTCTTTATAATATGCAAAAACGGCAAGAAAAACAACCCAGAAAATGTGTGTTCAAGTCAACAAGATTAATTCACTCAGTGGATAAAAGCCCCTCTTCCTAGCTGGAAGCCAAAGTGAGATTTTCATTAAAAACTATTCGCATTTTGTTTATGTTCAAAGTTAACTAACTTTACCTGATAAAAAGAATGAGGTACTTATTACAAACACACTAGTTCCTTAAGACATGTTTGAATTTGTATGCCATGTTTTCAAAGCAGACACAGTGACTAGGCTGAAACTGACTCAACGGAGTTTTCTTTAGCATTATATGTGATCAGTTGTCTTCAGAACTGGCAGACGAGACAGATCATTATGTCTTCCTGCAATCCATATTATTTACAATTAACGTAAGCTATCATTACAGTGAGGAAACATCTTCATGAGTCAGTCCTCTACTCACCAGGGATGTTTCCCCTTCTAACCGGGCTACTAATATACAGGCGAATAATTTGTTAAGCGAGCAACAGAGCATTGATACACCTCAGTTTAATGAGAGTTACAGATAATTAATTAAAAAAAATATGGTTATTTTCATTATTTCATTTAAAAGAGGAAGATATTTAGCTTAACCACTCACCCAACGTAAGTAAGATTAAATTGAATGGGTAGTTGGAAGTCCAGTTGGATAGTAGCACATTGATGGTACCTGCCAATAGCATCTTTGATTTTAATATCAATCTGTGAAGCAAAATAACCAAGTCACAGTTACTAAATATAGTTTGCCTGCATTGTGTCTGTATTCTTGTCCATCCCAAAGTTGTATTAAAATCCCGATTCACTAACCTTCGGACCATAAAATGCTCCATCTCCTGGATTCAAATTCCATTGCTCTCCAAAGTTATTCAAGCTGTTTTCAAGTTGCTAATCATAAAAATGAGATAATAATTAAAAAACGGTATAGCAGGGCCTTTCATTACTCGAAGTCAAAGCATTTGCCTTTGAAACACGAAGGGAGCCAACAGGCAGCATGACTCCGATTGTTCAAGCATTTAGTCATTTATGGTAAATAATCCTGAAGTAAGAGTAGTTCCTTGTACAAATGTTGTGATTAATCGGGGGGTGAGGGGAGAGCGGAATAAAAATCAAATCAGTTCAAGATAAGGGGCTAAGTATGAATCAGGCAGTTCTCATTTTATACAGAAACTTTGCCTTTAATGTGACGTTTTTCAACAAGCATTTCCACTAAGGAAAATGTTTAGCATCTGATTTAAGCAATTTCACTAATTTCACTATTCAACATGAAAGAACTTAGTTAAATATCCACCTCTACAAATACAAATATTAAAGGCTATGTTTGTTTGCTTTTAAATGAATTACCTTTTCTGCATGATCCCAGATCTCCAACTCTCCTAGATAATTTTCTGGTCTTGTAGAGAGATGTAGTTGAAAGGAAAAACCAAAGACAGCATACACTGACTTCAGGAAATCAAGACAGCCCTTAATTTCTTCTTCAATCTTAAACATAAACAAAAGATACTAGTTAAAACTATTTACACAAAAATGTAACTGGACTTACTGAATTCCTCATAATCAGAATATAAGAGTCCATTAAATTAAAAAAAAATAAAGATCACATTAAAATTACATCCTACAAACCCAAATCTAGGTAATGGGTGAATTGAGAACTGAGGTGGTGTGGCAAGAAATGTTCTCGTTAAGCCGGAGCTTCTGGAGCCAAATTGCATGAGTCAGGCTTGACAAGAGTACACCAATTTATTCACATAGCTCCACTACAATCTATGGCATTACTGACAAAATAAAGTATGTATTCAGCACTACTATGGAAAACAAAATGTGGTCAACAGCTTTTTTTCATTGCAGGGGGAGATGGGAGATGCAAAAGATTTTCCCTTTTGGGATTTGATGCCCAATGTATCTTTCTAAAGGGAAAAATCCTGTACAGAAAATCTTATTACGTAATTCACAATCAATAACATCCCTCAAATAACATTGTTTTCTTCTTTCGATGTAAGCATTTTTTAATTTCAAATAGAAAAATAAATAACACAAATTATGGCACTGCGATTTGAGAAACTTGTAACAGAGAAGCTAAGCTCAACAGGCTATTGACTTAAGCAATATTGCAGAAGGTTAAGAAATCTGGCATAGCAAATGGCTGAGAAGGAAGCACCTTCTAAATCTATCAGAAAAAAACATCAAAACCAGCATTATGCTACAAAGCAACACAACAGAAGCAGCGAGCTGAAACATTTTGGGGAGTTTTTTCGAGTTTAATGTTGGTTTGCACTGGGAGGGGAGTTTTTTTTTGGTTCACTGATGGTGTTGGTGTGGTTGTTTTTTGGGGGTTTGTCTTTTTACCTGTTCTATTGTGCAAAAGATGTGAGCATCATCTTGCTGGAAGCGCCTTACACGAGTCAAGCCACTTAAAGTCCCAGAGAGTTCATTTCGGTGAAGAACTCCAAAATCTGCAAGTCTAAGAGGCATTTCCCTCCAGGATCGTGGACGATGGGCAAACATCAAGCTAGACGGAACATGAAACAACCCTCCTTTGATCCGTCTTATACAAGATTTAAGACAACACAGACACTAAAACAATATCAGTACAGAAAGTAATCAAATTTTTACATATTTATCCGTTCAGGTTGTCTGCATCCCAAAAGGCAGGCAAACAGAAAAAGTGCAGCGCTCGGGAATGTATTGCTAAAGAGTACCCAGGAAAAACACTGCGAGAGTAACAATCAAGACTGGTTCATCTGTACCTTCTTTTGGTTCACCACACCGGACACCACACCGGATGCCTATCTCTGTCCAACGGGATTTGTATTTACTAGTGGTACAGACTAGTATTAGCATGCACAAACCTAGCTCAGTGCAGGCTTACTGAAAGATACTCCTGTAAGAACTGTATTTGGTCTGCTTTGGGACACTGTTGGGGAGCTGTCTGGACACACTAGGAGCTTGCTAGTCTATTGTAAATATACACGATAACATGTATTAATACTCCATTTTTTCCCCTCAGCCCCACGAAGGATAAATATAGTAAAATAGGGAGGTTTTCAGTTGAGAGTACAAACCAATGTCCTGGACAATTCATCGGTTTAAGGGCAAAAGTTTCCTTCTCGATCTCAAAAGAGAACATATTTTCACTGTAGTGCTGCCAGTGTCCTGAAGTTTCCCAGAGTTTACTGTTGAAGACGTTTGGAGATACAACTTCAGTGAAATTACGCCTGTGATATTCCTCCTATAAGACAAATTCAACATTTAAAAGGAGATCAAGCTTTTGACAAGCAAAAGCCTGATTCTTTTTAACTGTGTTCTTATGACGGCAATGTACTGGGAGACTAAAGGTCTACGGCACATGTAGGTTTTACATGACTGGAAGGAACACGTGTCAAAGCTTTACTCCGCCCTATTTTCAAAAAGGTTAGATCTGTAGAATCATAGCGAAAATCTGGTCTATGTTTACATACACAGATGTTTCTGTTTCTGAGGATAGCTCAGTGCTATGAATGGCCTATCACTTAAGATCAACAACTGATATTAAGCTTGTTAAGAGTTACATTAGTATATACTCACTCGTATGAAATCCACGAGTGTGTTATAAAGAAAGGCACCCCTGGGGAGGAAAAAGCAGCTTCCAGGACTCAAGTCGTGAAAGAAGAAGAGTTCTTGCTCCTAGGTACATTAAAAACAGAATGCTGTAACACCACTTTGGATGTAAACTCAGAACAGCAGAAAGACTACTTCACACATGTTGAGACTCGGTTCACAAAAACGAAATATTACAGCAACAAGATGATTTCCAGAAGTCTACAAGTTCTCAGCAACAGTAGTTAATTTATCTATAATTCTTACTCTCAGAAGTTTGTAAGAACACTGAATTCCATCTGACTCTGTGACTATGTAAACACACACTTCCTCAAAATACTGAAGCCTTAATCAATCTTACCTTTAGTGACCAAAGCAATTAAGCATATACCCATCAGATCTGAGGGTTGATGGCTGAAGCTTGTGAGCCAGTCACTCTTTATCAGAATGCTGTCTCAAAAACATAAGCTCAGCAGTGTGGCTCTGATATACCTTTGGAGAACCTTAGCCTCTTCAGTATCGTAGATATTAGATAAATAGACATGAGGTAAGTTGTTTTATACTAGATAATTAGTTTCTAAAAAGGCATAGGAGTAATCATCAAACAAATACTCAACAAATATTCAAGTCTTCATAAGTTATTAGAAATAAGCACAAGCACTTCTATAAAGACAATTTTTCTACTTCTTCCTTTGTCATTGTTTTCTGTAAATTCCTCAGTGGCTCTTTCTCTTCTGAGTTACCCTCAGTTGTTCATCTTTGCTTGTGAAGGCCCTTCACAGCCTCTTCTTTCACGTCTGCCAGTAAGCAGCAAGAGGTTCATGTCTCTCGGCCAACAATGCTGACCTTCACTTACACACGAGTTTTTCAAATAAATGCCTCCCTGCTTTCACCCTGTACTGCCCATTATGCCTTTAAACATCCACAAAGCTACTTGCTATCTTCTCTCAAATACCCTCCCTGTAACTCCACCTTCTCTACAAAACTACAGCAAAGGTGACAACAGTTAGGAGACTGCATGCCAACACGACCATTAGGTCACGATCCTCATCTGCGTCAATCTAATGTCTTCCGATTTACACTCAATTTAAGATTAGATCTGTTCATTTAAATCTAGCAGAGGAATCTATCAACAATATTCAAAACAACAGCTGAAGTACTGCACATACATGCACTTAACTATTACCCTATTTATCACAGAATCATAGAATGGTTTGGGTTGGAAGGAACCTTAAAGATCATCTAGTTCCAACCATGGGCAGGGACACCTTCCACTAGACCAGGTTACTCAAAGCCTGTATTTATGCCTATAATAAAGAATGACCAAAAGATATTATTTACACAATTTTTGTAGAATTAAAATTTTAAAATACAACTGACACCAAGAAACTCATATAACTGTCTCCCATTCAAACTGTTGAAAAATGGAAAAAAACAACAAGAGAGAATGAATTCTATTACAGAAGTATAGAAGAGAAGTAGACCATGAAATAGCGTACCTTTCCAATTTTCCTATGGTCCCGATTTCTGGCTTCTTCCTGGAATTTTTCCCATTCCTTCATCATTTTGTTATCAGGAAAGGATATTCCATATATTCTCTGCAGAGTTTCCATGTCAGATTTTCCTTCCCAATATGTAGAAGAATTCTGATGCACAAAACCCGTACTTTAAGATAATATTATAGAATCTCAGGGAAAGGAGGAACAAACGCTAACCCGTTCAAATGTTAATTTTTTCCCTTGGGTAAAGAATGATATGCAGTCATCCTGCATTTGTTTATAATACAAAGATATTTGCGCTGCCTTTTAGTCAGCATACTAATATAGAAGACGTAAACAAAAGTGACTGGTCAAGCCATACTTTTATTCTACTTAGGTATCTTGTTTTAACTCTCATCATGGTATGTTTTAGTATCTCACATTACATCTTTTAAAAACGCAGCACTTGTTTACGTTCAAAACACAACGCAGTAGGGAAACATGAAAGACAAAACAAAACTCACTCACGCTCACAGTTAAATCCCAGCTGTTTGGACAATCTAGCACTTAATCGCTGCAACTCCCAGTTCCATAAACTTCAGTTAGGAAGCCAGCAGAAGTAACTACGATGAATGTTCCACTAAGGTCAGTCTAATAAGGTTACCAAAATTAGCATCTCTAAGTAACTTAAACTACAACATAACCAGAGGTATCTGCAGGCACAGTCTCTGGCTTTCCTACGAGCAATGCCATTTTTAAACAGCAGCACTTGCGGATCTGCCAGCGTCCACTTTACCTCCTGTTCCTGAAAGATATCATCTTACAAGGTCAAAATACTATTTTCTGACCCAATCAATATCCTGGACATTCATTTACTGCAGCATAGAGCGCACGCACACGCGGCACACAGATGTGACAGCTAGTATAGACTCAAACTATCACTACAAAGTGCAACGCTGGTTGGAGATACCAGCACAGTACTGCCACATTGGCTTAGGCACCGCACTTCGCTACTGTGCATGGTACAACTGGTTCCACAGCTAATCTAGTCACTACTAGTATATTTTTGCAGTGCTTTTCATTATAGTCAAAGCACGCATGGTACTGCACTACATTAAAAAAAGATGCTGTTAACTTGAACTGATGTACTATGTTGTGATGGTCAAGAATCAGTCAACATTGGAAGTAGACGAATGATGAAGGTGTCATGGTCTGGGCCTCAAACCAGGACAGAAGGTCTGTAGTTCTACTTGTGTGATGGGAGTGGGGAAAGAAACTGAGGACTATTTTCAGAGTAAGCAGAGCAAACAATACAAAGGACATACAAAGGACCCTAGCATAATCACTTCAGGAGAAATAAATCCATAAATAAATCAACTGACCCATAGTTAAGTTTTAATGCACAGTTAATTTAAACTTACCTTAAATATTTTAAGGGCCTTAATTTTTCCAGTGTGTCTCACGTGTGGACCCCTGCAGAGATCAATCAACGGACCACATCTATACAGAAAAGAAAAGAAGTGTTTATTTTAAAACACTCTTGACATTTTTAAACACAGTCACCAATGGCATGTAAGCTAATGCTTAACATGTTCAAACACACTAATATTCAACAAATTCAGTGCATTTTAAATGTAATTGTGCCTTCTACCTGAAGCAGAATATTCACCCAGTAAATACTCAGTACACTTGATCCATTGTCAAGAGCACCGTAACACACTCAGCAATTCATATAGTTCCGTATGTAATCTTTGTTAAAGATGGCCAGGAAATTTCAAACATGTACATCAAACAGAAAAAAACGTCTTTGCCATTTTCCAGTTTTATCCCTGGCAACTGAATGAACAGGATCCTCATCCCACACTGAGCTGAGTTAGCTCTACCCATTATCCAGCAATTCAGGGTCATAAGCGGTAACTTATTTTCATCTGTTTATTGAAACCAGAGGGAATGAGTGAAAAGTGGATTTGCCATTTGGCCACAAATTGAGACCTAATCTGTTCCAGCAGAGAAAGAAAAGATCTGATTTTACATAAGTAGCAATATTAATTGCAACCTTATGTCCCAAATACACAAGTATTCAGAAGTTAGAATAAAAAAAATGTTATACTGTGTGGGAAACACAAAAACTCAGAAACATCAATAAAACAGTTAATAAAATTCTACTTTAAAAGCATGTGTCAATAATGCAAACGCATCAGTAAAAGACAAAACTAAAAAGTCACATGAACACATATATGCATGCAAAAGTTCAACATCCTTTCAGAAGAATTACAAAACAAGAGAGGAAAGAGACAAAAATATCTTAATTTTCCTGAGGGTATGTTAAGCATAGTGATTACCACCTGAACACCTTAAAGCACTTTTGAAAGGCAATTAAAACACAGTACAGCGAGACTGGTAATATTCACTGTATAAAACAGAGGACTAGAGGACAAAGTCTTTTTTGACTTGTCTCTGCAAATGAGCCAGACTGAATGTATGCCTTTTGTGTACTAATTTCTTTGTCATCTCATTGAGCTTGAGGTGGCTTTGTGTAACAAGAAATTGTTTTTATTATTGCCCAAAAACATGCTGAACACTTGGAGAGCGATATGGAGAGGTGGGAACAGGATGCTATTGTTTTTCTTTGTTTTACTAGACAGCTACTATTCTGCAAGTCAGTCACATGCAGTATTTTATAAAAGTTACGTTTTAAAAGATCATTGCACCAGAACCACAGGTACTCCAAAGACTTACCTTAAACATGTCTAACAGGATGTCCTTTTTGACTTCCAGCCTTTCGAAAGCCTGCTTCTCTTTTATGATATTTTTACAGCGGTTCTCTAGTAGTGGGAATTCAGTACTAGATACACCTCTAAACAAACAGACACAGGCAAAAGAAATACAAAGTAGTTATTTTTATATTCCTATTTTTTAAGTCACCACTTTCTAGTGGTTTAATCTGAAAAACACAGGACGTGTTCTTGTGATTTGTCACAGTGTTTTCTTTGTTTCTTACAATTGACTGTACTTTCAGACACTAAACTCGGACACAAATGGTATCACTCTGAATAAACCCATTGCAGTCGCTCCTAGAGCAGTCTTTGACATGTTTAAACGCCTGGAAGATCTGTAGCTCAAAGTATACATGATTTACGAAAAAAGGAGAAAAAAAAAAAAAGGCTCAACCCAGCTGCAAGAGCTAGTTTATCAGCTGATGCAGATTCAGTATTCTCCCTGACTACAGAAAGATAAACAAGGAAAAAAACCAGAATTGTAAAGCTGTGCACAAGGATTAGAAGGAGTAAACACCTATATGAGTTCCATGCATACGTGCCATTTCTACAAGTGACTATGGCACTTTTCAACCAAACTACTGCAATCCTTCAAGGATACGGTCTCCTATATCTCCCAGGAACTTCAGAAAGTTTTACCCAAACACTCTACATTTTTTTGCAGAACATTCATCAACTGCAAGTCTTAAGGAGCAGGTGTCTGAACCTGCTCTTGAATTTAAATATACACATACTCTCAATATATATGTATACGCAGAGCTACACTATGAAGGTGACTAACCTGTCACTTTTAAACCATACTAGGTACACAATTTTACTTTTAACATGCAGAAACATGACTGAGCAAAAGTAATTCTAGTGCTGAGCTTTGAAACAGAGTATTAAAGTTCTCCGACACTGAAATTTTACCTGTCTTCAATGTACATGTCATAATAAAATCCATTCTCAATTGGTGGTCCATAGCATAAGCAGCCCCCAAAATAACCTTCCATTGCCTCTCCAAGAATATGAGCACTTGAATGCCAATAAACCTGCAAATAAACTCAGGTGAGCAAGCCACTGGCAGTGTGTAACTAAAAAGAAAAAAAACAAAACAGAGGTACATCTGCAGTTGGGAAATACACTGGAATAAGTGTTGTTTAAATTCTGTCAGAAGTATAACAACTTTCTGTTCTTATTTTGAAGTACACTACACGACTAATATAACAGCAGATGTAGCAATAAAACCCCACAGTATTTCAGTCTGAAAGATGATTATACCTCTACACGATTCCGTCACCTCAGTACTTATTGTACCTTGTTCATTTCTAAGTGAGTTTCCGGTCAGTTAAGTCTATGCAATACTAACCCCATCTAAAGCAAGGTAGACAATTAAGTTACCATTGTTCACATAAAGTACATCTGTTAATAGGATTTTAAACCACATTACCCGAAATGACAGAAGAAGAGCGCTAACAACCCAGTGGATCAATACCAGATTTATGTTCCACGTCCCTATCAACTGAGGCCACTTCATTGCCACTGCTAGAAGATTAAGCCTGTACAGGCTCCTGAAATGCCTCAAACAAACTTAACCACAGGAATAATTTTTTGGCAATATGAAGACTAATTCTAGCGCACAAAGATAAACATAGGCCTAAGACTGAATCCCATAAAAAAAAAAAAATCTTGGCTGTGTCGCTAAGAATATTCACAGATTAATTGAAAAAGATATGCCTACTTATGTTTCTAATAAACCGTGCTGGTAAAAGGAGGTGTACATGTTATTGATGACTCAAATCTGATATTGGACAACTTTTAGAAAACTGTAAGACAGCCTCACGGTTGCTTTCAGTGTCTGATCTTCAAACAGAGTCAAACCACAACACATGTCTTAGAAGACAGCAAACTATTTCGAGTTAGCATGCAAATCAAGACATTCTGTACGATCTCGTTTGAGAAATAACCTGTTTATGTAAGAGACAAGGGAAGTAAAGAACATTAAGATTTCATTCACCTAGACATTATAGGTACTTAGTATCTCATCTTCGTTGTTGAATCGTGACAAACAAATTACTTGAATAGCTTTGGGGATTTTTGTTTTTAATTCAAGATTTTAAAAGCATAATGCTGCCATCAATTTCCTCACATTAGTTCTTTTTATCAAGCAGAAACCAGTGAGTGTTTACTCACAGCTTTTGCTTCTTCATTATCAAACATAAGCAGCTCCAGAGTACAATCTCCCTCCAGCGGACGGTCCAGGTCCCACAGTTCACCATTCACTTTGGCTATGACTGCATTTGAAGCCAACACTTGACTAAGAAACACAAATGATGACAAGATACCAAAATATTTAGGTTCAGATTTGCAAAAGTGCTTAGGTTTCTAAATTCCACGAGACCCCACCCACATCTCGTAGCACCTAAAGACCCTTAATTTTTCTTTCCGTGGTTGTCTTAAACACTTTCCTACTTTTAAGGTACAGACGCTTAAGGTCTTAAAGTTTCATTCAATGGTTTGCAGTACTGGGGATCTGGAGTAAAGACTGCCTCTAACAAGAGTTTCCACTGCTAGCTGGTAACTCACAAAACTTCAGATGTCTCTACTAATTCCTAGCAGTCTCAGTGATTGTTATATTTAACTGGAAGCAAGCATTATGATCCCAGCACAGAACCTCAAGCATCACCCAGAACAGTAACTTCACCCATTAAGTTGAAGTTTCAATGATGCTTTCCAAATAAACCAACTTCAGAGAGTCACCATCCATTGACCATGACACATATATATGTTATGCAACAAGCTAAGAGACAAATGATAATAACAGATTTATCACTGCAAAAGTACAGTGCCTTCAATCTGCAGGTTACCTAATTCCAACAGCTAATTGATATGGTGTGGTTTTCCAAGATTCCCCTTCAGCCATTTTTCCGTCTGTCAGGGTAATTTTGATAGGTTTGCTCAGGTTGGCCGCTCTGTAAGCTAGCAAAGCATCATGTTCTTTTTTCAGTGCTTCGTAAAGCTTCAGCCTGTCTTCTATGAAGCTTGGCTCACACTGTAGCTGTAACAAATAAACTAAATCATACCTGTACACATTTGTGAGAGTAAACAGAATGAAAGGATTCACAGCATTCATGCATCCCTAGAGGTTCCAACTCAAACCTGATTTCACCGTACTAGAATTCATACTAATATGCAATAAAGCATTTATCAATAATTATACACAGTATAGTCCCAGCCAACTTGCTGATTATTTGATAGTGGCTCTCCAATTTTCGCAAGCATCTTCATCAATCTGGGCCTAAATGGCTTTGTGAGTTTGATCTCAGAAAGCAGCCTATATTCCTGCCCCAGAATTTGGTTGACATCCTAGAGAAGTCTGGATCACTCCAACAAGCCCTCGCTCCTGCCAGTCCACTCAAAGCATCAGATTTAAATAAGATAGTTCCCAGGAATCACAGAACGGTCAGGTTTGGAAGGGACCTTCGGAGATCATCTAGTCCAACTCCCTGCCAAAGCAGGTTCACCTACAGCAGGCTGGACAGGAACGCACCCCAGGCAGGTTTTGAGTATCTTCAGAGAAGGGGACTCCACAACCTCTTTTGGCATCCAACATCCTCTTTCAGTCATCACACACACTGTTTATTCATGAACCATCACTCTCTTTAGGAACCACAGTATCCTGACCCCTATTTCCCCATAGCCCAAATCCTTTTGTCAGATAAAAAGTAGAGATCTAAGAACGTGTAAGGAGCCCTACTAATTGCATGCAAGATGAAGATCTTAGATAATGATTTCTTCTATATGCATGCTATTATAGCAAGCCTTCTTCCCAAAACCCGGGATTTCAAAATACAGCAAAGTATTTCAGATTTCAGGACCTTTTCTGAACCTAGACGAACAACACTACTTCTATAACTATGTGGTATAAAATAACCACTTACATCATTCCGATGTCGGTTCAGAGCTTCATTTTCTTTCTTCTTTTCCTCTTTATTTTGATGCACTGCAATAGCAGCTGGACTTGCACGGCAGACTCTCTGAAAACAGTGATAATATGAAGTATGTGACTATGTCTTTAAGGCTTTTCCCAGCAATCACTGAAACAAACCGAACCAGACCAGTGCAATACTGGGCTAAAAAGGCAATTACAGTCAAGGTATGTCCTTAGTACAGAGGAAAGACTTCTCATGGCACAGCTAAATTGCGTTCGTTTGCTGTTCAGCGAAACTGCTCGCCAAGCAAAACCTCCCCAACACGATTTCCCCAGTTCCACTACTGCAGCCACCACCGGCAAGACCTCCTCAGCGAGACGCTGGGAGATGAGAACGGCCCAGTGAGCAACAGAACCCACTCGCGGCGGCCTGACCAACGCGTCCCGCCCCGGCGAAGAGGCTGAGCCC